ACCGAAAGGCTGCAGTTTTGATCCCAGTTGGAGCGCACGCAGGAGGTGTCACATCCATGTTCCTCCCCCCTTCTCGATCTCTCTCTCTCCCCACCCCCCGATCTCTCTCAGTCTGTCTCCACCCCCCGCCGTCTCTCTCCATTTCTTTCTCTCTCTCCCTGCTTTCTTCTCTCTCTCAAAATCAATGAACATAACATCAGGTGATGATAAAAAAAAAAATTATAAAATACCTTCCTGCCTGTCCCATTCCTATTACTTGTACCTGTTTTACTTTTCCCCCTGAGACTGACTGCCCTCTGACCCAGGATACAATTTAGGATACAGCGTACCTCCTTACTATGTCTCTTGCTTCTTCTCTGTCTTCCTCCACCACAAGATCAGGGACCTTTGCTGAGTCCCCAAAGCCCAGCACAGCACCCCGCACACAGTACGTGCTCCATCAACACAGGTTCAGTCCCTGGGCAGTTTCTCCTCCCAGTCACATCTCCCATTAATCTCAGCCCATTCCAAAGGGTGTCAGGCTCCACCCTAAGCAAACACTGCTCCCCTGGAATCAGGCCAGGCCGAGAAGGAAGAACAGGAACCCACACTCTCCACTGTGAACTTTCCCCAGAACTCAGAGGGCCTCATGGAAGCACTGAACCAGGAAGGCAGGACTTACAAGATGCTGAGCCTGGGGCTTTGGTCAGGGGGCATGGGCAGCCCCCAGACCTTCCTGCTCTCTACGTTTGACATCTGTCTTCCCAACAACCTCACTTTACTGTGCAGCCCTGGGCAAGTGGCTGCCCCTCTCTGAGCCAGGCTTTGACCTCTGTAAAACAGGAAGACGGCTGGCTGGACAATCTGAGGCCTGATTTTGAGCGGGACATCTTTTCCCATGACCCCCGCATGACGGAGCATCTACTACCAGCCCTATCATGTGCTGCTCTCAGCAGCCCTGTTCCATGGTGGGGGCTTTACACCCACTTTACAGAGAGGAAAACTGAGATCCAGACAAGAGAAATGGCTGGAGGTTGCCTCCAGTCGAGATGTATTCCCTCCAACCCCCAAACCCTCCAAATCTCAAGCCTCCCTGCTTCCTGGGAGCTCGGTGACCACACTGCCCTGAGGCGATCCCAGGCCAGTCAGGCCTGCTCTGTGCCCCACATCTCAGATGCCCGCACCTGCCCAGCCTCAAGGGACCCACTTGGTCCTGGACAAAGAGACTTGAGGAGCAATCAGACACTGGCTCCCAGGGAGCTCCTTTGTCCTGTACTTCTGGGAGCAAATGACCCAGAAAAAACGTCCTGCCACTGACCCCTCTCCTCTCCAGGTTCTAGGCTTCCTACTCTCAGAGACCATCCTGGCTCCTCGCCCACAGGCTGCTCTGGGGACTACTGTGACAACCTTCAGCTCGCCCCCACCCCCTCCTGCATGTCACCACTGGGAGATTTTAGCCAGAGAAGGGATCAAGAGAAACAAGGTAAGGCGACCCCAGGACCCGCTCCCCCAGCTCCAGCAGGTTCCGAAGGCGGTGGGAGGCCCATGCAATTGTCGGAAGACTCAAGGGCCTCTTCAGAAGTTCCAGGAAGCTTCCCCATTGACCAAATGCCAGGCTGCCCACCTGCCACCTCCCTGCCTGGCTTCCCATCCTTAGTTTGAAAGATCAAAGAGGCCACCCTGTGCCCCTTCGGCCCCCTGGCACCACCTGGGCCAACAATGACCCTTTTAGGTCCCTGGCTCTGGCGTCCTGGGCTGGTTGCCAAAGGTTGTAACTGCCAGCCAGATAATCCTTTAGAAACTATGTCAAATGCCCACGCAGGAGGGTCAGTTTCCTGCTTTACCGGGAGCTGGGGGGAGGTGACCTGGGGTCCGGGGTCCCCACAGTGGGGGGTCTGGCCCCAGCAGGGGCCTCGGATGGTGGGCAGAGCAGGGACTTACCTGTCTAGGAGGCTGAGTTGCCTCTGAGCAGGCAGCAGGAGCCGAGGCCTGGGTGCTCGCCTGGCATGGGGGCGGGGAGGGAGCCCGAGGCTTGAGCTCCGGCCTCCCCACCTGTTTGCTCAACTTTTCCTCCCTTGTGGTAGCAACAGGCTAGCAGGTCCCGTGCCAGGTGGAACCAGCACGGCAGCATGCAACATGCGACAGGCACAGGCGAACTGGCAGTGTGAGAGAGACAGGGAGGCTGGCTGGGTGTGTGGCTCTGTCGTAAGGTGCTCTCACGTGGCAGTAGCTGGCCTTAACCCCTGCTCACCCAGAGGCCAAGGACACTGAGTCCTGCCCTGTTAGTGCCATTCACCCCTGAGCCCTTGACATCAACAGTGGGACCAGCATGGATAGGCAGGTCCTCAGGAAAGGTTTGTTGAATAAGTTAAGGAATAAATACATGAAACTCCTTCTAGCTAGCCAGCCCCCTTTCCCCTCTGCTCCCTTTACAGCTAGAACTGCCAAGCCTTTGCACTTGCTGTGCCTTTGGGTGAACCGTGGCAGGGCTGGCTTCTTTTTGTCTTTCGGATCTGAGAGCAAATTCTGTTTCTGTGCTACAAAGTGAGCAGCCAGATTCCTATGTCGAGAATCTTGTCATTTCCCAGCTGGGTAGCTTTGGCTCTTCTCAATTTCCTCATCTAAAAAAATGGGGAAAAACACTAGCATCTACTTCCTAGGAGAGTTTCGAAGAGTGAGTAAATGAATGAATGTCCATAAAGTGCTTAGGACAGGACAGGGCACGCAGTAGGTCTGCACCTTCTAGCCGCTACCCACAAGTGGCTGGTCCTAATGAATTAAATGTGGTTAAGTGTAGAATACACACTGGGGTTGGAAGATGCAGTACCCAAAGAATAGAGTTTGTTATTTTTAATATTCACTCTATGTTGAAATGATAATATTTTGGATATGTTGGATTACATGAAGTATATCATTAAAGTAATCTCACTGTTTCTATTTTGCTTTCTAAATTGTGGTTACTAGAAAATTTTAAATAACATTTAGGATTTTAAATTTAAATTGCCTTTCATTGTAGTGCTCTTGGGCAGTGCTGGAAGAGGTGCTTAATGCATAGCAGATATTGAGCCTGTTTTGTTTTTTTTTTGAACACATCTGTGTTATTTTCAAAGTGTTTATTAGCAGCTGAAATTACCGGCTGTGTTGTGCTTGTTTATCTGTCTCTTCTAGAATGTCACCTTATTGAGGTCAAGGATTTTGTCTTGCTCATTCTTGTATTCCCATAACCTAGAACGGTGTCTGGTACACAGTAGGTGCTCAATAAATATTTGTGGCATGAATAAACGAATGAGTGAGTGAATGAACGAATGAATTAAGGGAATACAGGAGGAGGGATGAAGACGCGTGGGTCCCTAATACCTGGTACCTAGTGCTGATGGTAATAGCCTCTATATCCACGAGGGGGCGCCAGAAACCAGGCAACCGGCTCCAGCCCCACAGCCTCAGTTTTCCACTCCGTAAAACGGGAGCAAGGGAGCAGAGACGGGCGAGGATGAATCAAGAAATCCAGAAGCCGCAACGGCACGCAGACCCCGGCCCCTCCTCTCCATTCCTATACTCTCCTGTCCCCCCCTCTGGCACGAGTTTGGTTTTGTCTTTTTACATTTTCATTTTTTTTAAATTAAAGTTTATCCACACATGCACTTTAAAGAAGTCAAATTTTAATTCAGGTTTGTTAAAATTAGCCAAGTGGCATTGTCACCCCACAATTTTCTCCCTTCTAAGAGGCTCTGACCCCTTAATTTCCTTTAAGATAAATTATGTTGACATTCACTTCCTTGTCTCCAAATAACGCCTGTTTTGCCACTTCTTGATTTTCCAGTTTTAGTATTTACTTCCCACAAGGAGGGGTTTAGAATCAACCCTGAAATTGACTTTTAAAAAAATTGTTTCATTTTCATGATCCTTATCACTGACCCAACCCCCAGTCATCCTCTAGTTGTCTGAACCTGTGTTTCTCAAACTCTCTCAGGCATTCAGATGGCCTTAGGGGGCTCACTGAAACCCAGACGGTGGAGCCCCGCCCAGAGTTTCTGATGCAGGAAGTCTGGGGTGGGACATGAAGTTCTACATCTCTACCAAACTCCGGGGTGTTGCCCTCAAGCACCCTAGACAGTGATGAGGGACCATGTCTCTGGAATCAGGCAGGCCTGGGTGAAAACATCCCAGCTCTGTCTCTCACTAATGGGGTGCCTGGACATCCCCACAGAGGAGATCATTAGTTATGAATAAAATTACTAATAGCAGCATTTATTACTTCCCAAATCATGACTTCACAATTAATAACCACCTAGTCATATAACTAATAAATTCACCATTAGACTTTAATAACAACAGCAATATAATTATTCTTTGTACATAAATAACACCGATTCACAGCATGCTTCTTGGTGTGATTTTCTGAGCTCCTGTTGGGGATGATAATAGTTTTCATCTGCTTGATTAATATTATCAAATATTTATTGTTTTCTAGGTGTAAGGTTCTGTGTTAGGTACCGGGAATATATTCGTAGTAAAAAACGGGACCCTAACTTATGGAGATATCCCATGCAAAGGCTATAGCCCTGAGACTGGCATTTAATAATATTATTATGTATAGTTACCATTATGTTACAAATAACGTTATATATAATATTAGTACATTATATATTTATGGTACTTATATATAATTAGTAATAACATGTCTATCAATAATATTACATATAATTTACATATTGTGCATAATGAAAATCAAACTTAATTATCATATTATAATTACTATTTACATTAAACATTTAACACAGTAATTTGTGTTACAATGTGGTGATAAGCAATTTATTATTTATAAATATTACTTACATTTCACGTATAATATTAATACTGTTGCAATGTTGGTTGGAAAGGCGTTGTCCTTCCATTTCCTGGGCGCGTGGGGGCGCTCGAGGCACTCCCGGGCCCGAACGCACTCAGGCCCCGCCCCCGATCTCCGATAGGCTACAGGCGCGGTGCGCCATGGCGCAGCGACAGGCCCCGTCCCCGGCCCTCCCCCTGGTCCCTGGGCTCGGCTCCCTCCCTCCACCCTCCAGCCGGCGGCGGTTGTTGTTCAGCGGCGGCGGCCGCCGCTTGGGTCGTAACCTCCGGCCGCCCGCTCGCTAGTCGGTCCGCGCGCGTGGCCATGGAGCTGGAAGTGCCGGACGAAGCGGAGAGCGCCGAGGGGGGGACCGTGACTTCGGAGGTGACCTGGGCCGCGGAGAGCGGCGCGGCATCAGGTAACGGTTCCGAACCTCGCGTCCCTTCGTTCATACGGAATGGACCCGCCTGCCCCCCCCCCGCTGGGGCCCAGTGGTCCCGTCCAAGTGCCAGGGGGTAGCCGAGACCCGCTGCAGGAACACCGGAACGTTCCACTCAGGAGTGCTTGCGGGGGGATGGAACACCCCACCCCCGGGTTGGGGGACTCACCGCCAGGAGCCGGAGGGAGGCTGGAACGCCCCACCTGGGGCTTGGAGTGGCACCGCCTATTCTGGAGATCCCTTGGGGGGTCGTTGGGCTGGGGGCGGGAGTGGGTGCGGGGCCCCATTCTGAGAGGCTGTGAGTGGAGCATCCTCCTTTGGAAGGGTGCGGGGAAGACCCCCCACTTAGAACGTGGTGGGTGAGTGTTCCGCCTCCTACTGAGGGCGTTCGGGGACGACGTCCCTTCAGTCTTGTTGGTATGGCTGGATTGCTCTGCGTGTGTGGAATGGTGAAGTACCCCGTTCCATGAAGGGGGCCCTATCTCCAAGGTGGGGCATGACAGGGGGGTGACACTGTATCAAATACGCAGCCTTGCGTGGACCCATTCTCTGGGCCACACACCTTGTTGGTGTCAGCTTCCTGGCCTCAGCCCTTCCCTTCACAAACGGTCACCCCTATGGGCACATCTTATTGGTTGGGAAGACTAGGGGCAGCTGGGGTGGAGGAGGGAGGGTCTTTGTGGCCATCTGGGACAGCCTCCTGACAATCTCAGTCTTTCTTGTGGAAGTCACCAGACCCGGTTTCTGGTGCACTAACCATTTGTTTCCTATCTGGGCCTTAGTTTACCTTGCTATCACAGGAGGGGGCTAAGGGCATGACATCTTCAGGCACCTTCAGTGCCAGGGCTCTTTAAGCAGACTGAGGAAGGGTAGGCCCTTCTAATCCTTCCCCCTGGACACCCGGGGTCTGCTGTAGCCATGTAGGGCCATTGCTTCCTGGTGCCCCTCTCCTTGGCCTGCCTTTCTTGCCCTCCAGCAGAGCAGGTGTGGGGAGCAAGGCATCCTCGCCTAGCCCCACCAACCCCAGGCATGCCTTTCCTTGGGGTGGAGTACAGAGCCACTGCGGTTCCTTCTCAGTTGAGGTCACAAGCTCCCAAATAGGAAGTTTCCTGATCTAAAGAACCCTTTGCTCCTCCCAAGCAGCCCTCATGGGCGGAGTCCTGTAGACACCCACATGGGCATCCATCCTCCTTCTCCCCCTGGCCTGCAGAAGCCTTCTTGGCAGTCGGGGAGATGCTGTGCTGCCTGGGAATTGGGAGAAGTGGAGGGGGGGGGGAGAGAGAGAAAGAGAGAGGCAGAGACAGAGAGAGAGAGAGAGAGAAGGAGGGGGAGGGGGGAGAGAGAGAGGAAGGAGGGAGAAAGGAATATCCTGGGCTTTGGAAGACTCCCACTGCTTCCTCTCCCACTGCCATTTGGAACTGCCTGGTAGATGACCTGTTTCCTTCCTACCGTACAGTCGCCTTGCCTTTTTTCAGCTGGTGCCTTTGCCAGGCTAGCACCACACGTGGCTTAGGGCCCCAGCAAGTTTCTTTCTCAGCCCCCTGACCTCCATCATCAGCCCTCTGGCCTGGCTGGTTAGAGACAAAATAGCCGCAGATTAAGTGACCACTGGAAAGCTACAGAGCAAACATTTGTCTTATCAGGAGCTGGGTGAGCTGATTGGGGACAGATAAAGTCCCAGCCCCTGGCTCTGGCTGGGTCTCCCTGCCTGCCCTGAAATCCCCAGAAATCTGCCTTCCCCAGCAAATTATTTACTTTATTCTCTTTAAAGAGCTGCCTCTCCCAGCTCCAAACCCACTTCTCTTGACTTAAGTGCTGTGAAGTTTGGGTAATAGCTGTCCACGCTTTTCCTACTGCTGTATAAATATATAAACATATAAATGGGTCTGCATATTCCTCACCAGGATGGTTCATGCAGCACCAGGGTCTCTGCTCTCTCACTATTGACTTTTTGGGACAGAAAAGTTTTTGTATTTAAAGGAACTGTACTGGGTGCTGGAAGGTGTTGAGCAGCATCCCTGGCCCCGACCCTCTCAATGCCAGGAGTTTCTCCCCTCAGTTGTGACAAATACAGTGTCCCAGATACAGTCCAGTGCCCCTTGGAGGTAGTCACCCTGCGGGAGAGCCACTGCTTGCTTTTTATTGGTGATATTCTGGGTTATTTTCCCCCACGTTGATATCAGTTATTTTTTTCAGAAACAGAGAAGACACTACCGTGATGAAGACTGTGGGAATCCCAGGGTTACTCTGCCTGGATTCCACTAAAGAGCAAATGCCCCCATCTCTCTGAGCCATCAGTGTCCCCATCTGTAAAAATGGGGTGAGAGTGCTGGATGGATGTTAGGGACAGCTGCTCGAGGCCCCAGCCATTACTGATTTACAAGCTTCCTGCTGAAGGGGCATTCAAGTTGTGTCTGGAGTTGCCTTTTGCTGTTACAAGCAGTAAATGGTTTGTCTTTGAGTGTGTGTGCTTCAGTTTCTAGAAGTTGTAGTCACACCGTGGAGTGGCTGGGTTAGAGGCCAGGAGATTGAAAAATAACTATCAGGCACCTGATGGCTTTTCAGGAAGGTGTGGCAGGGCCAGTAGAGACTGTCGTCCCGCAGCGTTGCCAGCTCTGGATGTTATCAGCCTCGGTCATTTTGGCCAATCTGATGGGAGGTGAAACGTATCTCATTGGTGTTTAGAATCTGGTTACTTTTAAACGCCTGGGCTTCTGAGTCCCTGTCCAGAGAAGGCCTGATGAGATTCTTCATTGGCTTTTGGGAGCTGTGTGGGGTGCCTCATTCCTGGGGGCTTGGACACATTCATGGGGCCAGCTGTGGGCTTTTGGGCTGAGCTGCGGTCTGCCGTTTCAGAGCCATTTCCCTCCTGTCCTTCCTGTACCCATGGTATCTCAGAACAGGCAGCTTCTTCCCAGACCTCCCAAGCCCTCCTACATCTAATCTGGCGGCCAATTATGTCAGCTTTGCCTTCAAAATGGACCCTGAATCCACCCACTTCTTCCCCTCCTCTGCCTCCACCTGGTCCAACCCCATCATCCATTGCTGGCCTGGTCCCCATCCCTTCGCATGTTCTCTGCAGCTCACTTTAGAAGGCTCTCGTTAAAAACTGACTCAGATCCCATCCTTCTTCTGCCCACAACCCTCCAGGACTCCGAGTTTCCTCTGTGTAAAAACTCAGACCCTGCCCATGGTTCACAAGGCCCTGCATGACGTGCTCCTGTCCCCTCCCTCTCCTCACCCTCCTCCCTCTCTCCCATTTGCTCTGCTCCAGCCACACAAGGCTCGCTGTTTTGCCAATACCCCGGACATAGTCCTGCCCCAGGGCCTTTGCATGGGCTGTGCCTGCTGCCTAAAACACTCGTTCTTCATACCTGTGTCATTTGCTCCCTTAGCTCTTTCAAATTTTTGCTGAAATATCTCTTCCTCCATGAAGATATTTGAGGGAGGCCTGAGAGAGGGGTGGGAAGACAGCACAGTTCAAGTGAAGGCCTAGGGTGCTTGAAGAACAGTGAGGGGCCAGCCTGCCCAGGGGGAGCAGGCAGCATCACTACAGGCCTCCTCTGTAGCTGTGAGTGAATGGTAACCAGGGATTGCAACGTCCCTGGTCCCTGCATTGTGCGCGAGTTGTGGCCTTAGCAGATAGAAAGCTCCCAGTGTGAATTTTGCCCTGGCCACTGTATAGGAATGCAGCCTAAGGCACTTGGACTGGCAGCATTGGCAGGAGAGGCCTTGGGAGCTGGACCACCTTTACCAGCTGGGGACACTCCACCTCAGTGTCTCCATCTGCGAAATGACTATACCTTTCTCTTAGGCCTGGACTGAGTGAATTGAGGTGCAGAGCTTTAGAGGGCTCCTGGTGTGGAGCCGACTCCATGTGAGTGCTGGAGTTTTCCCTCCTCCAGTCCACACCCAAGTCAAAGGATCAGTGTGTCAGAAACTGCTTCTTGCAGTGCCTGACACAAGCTGGAGTTTGCCATGAGCCTCAGAGCATGTGCAGACGTGCAGTTGCCTCTTAGTCCTTGAACAGGGCTTATTGAACATTTATCAAGCATCTGCTGTGGGCCATGTGGGGTTCTAGGTGCCCAGGCCAGTCACATCTGTTACCAGGGGAATTCCTTCGCTGTCCTCTGGCCTCTCAGATTGGTGAGGCTGGGGTAGCGGGTAGAGTAAACAGGTAAGACCCGGGGCTGCAGTCTGTTCCCCCCTAGACAAACCCTGTCTACCCCTGGTTTTTGTCAATAAAGTTTTATTGGCACACGGCCATGCCCATTCTCTCACATGTTTATGCGGCTTTCACATTACAGTGGCAGAGCTGAGTCTCAAGACAGAGACCTCATAGCCCACAGTGTGGAAAATATTCACTCTCTGGTCCTTTACGGAAAGTGTTTGCTGACCCTGGAATAAAACCATGCTGGACAGTGGTGTGTGTGCAGAGGGAAGGGAAGCATGTGGCAGCACAGGTTGCCAGGACCTGCTGTAGGTGGTCAGGAGAGGAAGTGCCTTGAGTGAGAAACAGCAACTGACGGTGGAGCTTTTGGGCAGAGGGAACATGCAAAGGCTCTGAGGCCAGAATGAGTGTGATTCCTCTGAGCGATGGAAGCCAAGTCAGTGTGTGGGGCAGGGGCTGAGACAGGCAGGGCCAGCTGCAAGGGGCCCTGGAGGTCTGGGCCTGCCTCAGTTCTGTACTGAGTTCAGTTGCTGGTGCTGGTGGGTTGAAGCAGGGCACTGGGCACAGTCAGTTTTGCAGAGCATGTGCTGGCTGCTTGGTGGGGAGGGGATGCGGAGGAGGGGGGTCTGGGCCAGGGATGGGGCTTGGGGGTGGAGGGAGGTGAGGGAGATGAGGAACCCAGGACAGTTTTGGTCTCTGTGCCCTGGAGTTGGTGGTGGGGTGAGGAGGGCCCAGGAAGGAGCACGTCTAGGGGGCCGAGCTTACACTGATTTGAGAGGAGCAGGGAGGGAGCTGCTGCCATGTGGAG